TCTATGTTTAAACTTTTGAGGAACTAACAGCCTGTTTTCCAAAGTGGTCACATCATTTCACACTCCCATCCACAGTATTTGAGGGTTCTGATTTCTCAACATCTTTTCTAACTTTTGAGGGTTTTAAGAAGTATTTATTTATTTATTTATTTATTCCACGAGCAAGAAAGAGCAGAGAAACACCACACCCAACAGGGTCTACCCCCAGTTCAGGATAGTCCTGGATCACATGCATGTCTGGCATCCTCAGGTAGGTCTCGAGACATGATCCCAGAACCTTGCCAGGGGGCTCAGCCTTGTAGAATATGGTATTCTGCCACTGCACCACCACCCATACCCACTCCAACCACTATTATTATATGTTTTTTTTATCATAGCCATCCCAGTATAAAGTAGAATCTCATTGTGGTTTTGATTTACATTTCATTAGTGGCTAATGATGTTGAGTATCTTTCTATCTGCTAATTAGTCTAAATATCAATCTAAATCCTTTGCACATTCTTTAATTGGGTTCTTTTTCTTGTTATGATTGAGTTGTAAGAATTCTTGATACATAGATTCAATCCCTTATTAAATGTATGATTTGCAAATATTTTCTCCCATTCTCTTGCTGCCTTTCTGCATTTCTGATATCTTTTGTAGCACAAAAGTTTTTAATTTTGAGGCAGTACAATTTATTTATTTATTATTGTTTTTTTTCTTTTGTTGCTTGAGATTTTCATGTCATATCTAAGAAGCTATTCTTAAGGTAATGGTTGCACACCTCTGTGAACATATCCAAAACTACAAAGTAATATGCTTCAAATAAGTGAATTATATAGTAAATGAATTAGTTTTAAGGGGGGAAAAAAAAGCCAAATGACAGAATAGACAGACAGAGAAAAACCCAGACGTTGCTGTCACTGTTTGAGTCTCTTTATACAAGGGGAAAAAAAGAAAACCTCCCATATTGTTTTTTTTGTTGTTTTTTTTTTTTTTAAATAAAGGAGGCCCAGCCCTGTGGCACAGAGGTAACATGCTGTTTAAGAGAAACTAGATCCCATATGCACCACAAGTTTGAGTCTCTGGCCCAGTTAATCTGCAATATACTGGGCATACACATAAATGCCCAGGATCCTGTGGACTGGAGGACTTGAGAAAGGGGATAATGGCATGACCAGACCCTGTGCAGGATGTTCATCTCTCTCTCTCTCTCCTCTCTCTCTCATGTGCACTCTCTCATAAATAAAGAAAAAAATGTAAAAATTAGATCGTGGGGATAGTTCCACAACTCTGTGAATAAACTAAAAACTATAAAATTAAATTTACTTTAAATGGATTAATTGTATGGTATATGAATTATATTTCAATCAAGCTGTCAAAAAAGACAGAAAAAAAATTTAAAAACATTGCCTAATCCACAGTCATAATATTTACTCCTGTTTTCTTTTAAGAATGACATAGTCTTAGCTAGTACATTTAGGTTTACAATCCATTTTATATATGATGTAAGCTCAGTCCATTAGTCTATTATTTTCTTGATATTATATTTAGGTTTACAATCCATTTTGTACATGGTGTAAACCTGGTCCATTATTTTCTCACTAACAGAAATAATTGAGGCTGGGTGACTAATAAAGAATAGAGGTTTATTTGGCTCACAAATCTGGTGTCTGGAAAGTCCAAACCCATGCGGCTGGTATCACAACATGGCTAACAGAAGCAGAGCAGTCCATATGCTCCTGCTAAAAGAGAGAAAGAGAGAGATAAAATAGACTTTTCCACTTCCTGTTTGTCTCTCCAACACTCCCAGCCAATTGGGTGGTGCTCTACCATCTGGTCCTGTCTCCAAAGGTCTTAGTACCTCTCAAAGCCATTATGTTAAGGACAATCTTCCAGAGCATGAAACTTAGAGGAACAAATCATTGTCTAAACTTTATCAGAAGGGGTCCAACTTCATGTACTTTATTTTATGCTCTTAAAAACATTATTATGAGGGGCAGGCAGGTGGCATAGTGGTTAAGGGTGCTGGACTCCCACATGGCTGACCATGATTCAAGTCCCAAACCTGGTGGCTTGCATTCATTCTCTCTCTCTCTCTCTCTCTCTCTCTCTCTCTCTCGTATCCATGCACACTCTGTCCCTTTCTGGTCAAATTAAAATAAATGAATAAATAAAGTTAAGTAAAATAATTCTTTAAAGAAAAGAAAAAAATATTCTGAGAGGGAATCCATAGGCTTCACCAACCTGTCAAGGCACTACATGGCACAGAAAAAGTAAAGCACTCTTGCGCTAGAACTTAAATTTTACCTTTACTTCTGTGGGTCTTTCTTCCCCTGTAAAATGCATGGGTAGGACCAGCTTGGGAAGCCCCTTCCAGCTCAGTGGTGCCATGTACTATGAAAAGGTTGTAAGTGGAGAGCAATGACTCTTTTCTTAAGAAAAGAGCTCAGATCTGTGACACCAATTGATTCTAAGTTATTATGTTTTTTCCAAAGGAAGCCATTGTCTGGCAATCACAGGAAGGTTCAACTAAAGCTTTGTGAAGTGTTTTAAAGGATCGAGGTGACACAATAGGGGAAGGAAATATTTTCTATTGAAAAGCAGTCAATTACCTTCAAGTTGCCAACAAACTGGAAAGTTTTTTTTCCCCTTGTTACAGCTGAATGCTAATCATTAGAAGGCAAATAGAGTGGGCTACATGAATAAACTGTAGACATCCCTACTGAGGGAAAAATGATTTGTACAAAATTAGCAGGAGGTGTGATGTCATACACACAACAGAGCCACTATCACTGGTTTTCAAATGGAAACAAAAATAACAATCAAATTCCTACTTTTACATTTGTAAGAGTGCTTTTACAATTCAATAATTGTTATTCTATATTCCTTTTTTTTTTTGAGAGAGAGAGAGATTTTTGCTTATAGGGCATTTATGCTCACTGGGGAGACAGAAGGACAGAAAGCAAGAAATCTTTCCCCAGGGGGATGGCTACACCACAATCCCTTCTCTTCTGGTCCTCTGAGATCTTGGGCTTTCACGCACGTGTGCCTAGTATGAGATTGAAGCCACTGGGTCTGAGACTTGAATTGCGGTTGATCATGTGGGAGTCCAGTGATGTAACCATTACACCATTTGCTGGTTAAAAAAGTATTTTAACCATGGTAGGGAGGGTTTTTAATGTAGATTAGTTAGGTCTCTTTCAAAATAAATTGACTATGAAATAAATATTGAAAATTTGAAAAGCCTTAGGACCAAATTCTATAAGCTAGCTGATCATTGTATGCATTTTAATTTTTTTCTGGAATCTACTTGAACACAGCAGAAATAATGATAATGATAATTATAAAAAGAAAATATGTATATATTTGTAAGAGTTCCATTAAATATGGAGTTTTAAAACGACTAGGATATTTGCAGAAGAGTTAGCATATTCTCCTGAGGTGTATAAACCATCTATCCTGAAGCACAGATCATGTTAAATTATCAAGGAGAGGGAAAAAAAGGCCTCCAAATCAGGACTTTCACTTTTATCTCCCTAGTACTTCTTTCTCCAACTTTTTCCTATTCCAAGAGGTACCAACAATGTGGGGGAAAAGATGTGGACAGTGAGGAAGCAGGGTCAGAGCTCTTAAAGCCCTGCCAATTAGTTAAAGGTCAGCACGGAAGGGACTGTCTATGATGGGACAAGGAAGCTGAGCTCTCTTGAGCCAATTGAACTGGATGGCTGCCAATCTCTGTCTCTGTCTGGGCCAAAGCAGAGCTCCCCACTGCTCTGTGTGACCCTGAACAAAGACAAAAATGCTCTATAGGAATAGGGTCTAGTTTCACCTTTTCAGATGAACAGACTAAGCCAACTTTCAGCAGGGGATCAAGGGAGAGAGAACAGAGAAAACCAAACTAGTATTTGCTGTGTCAGAAACTTCCAGGCTTATTTGGAAAGACTGAAACTAAATAAAGACTTCTTATTAGCACACGACTAGAGTTATGAAATCTGGTCAAAGGGTTTTATGCAAGGACGTGTGTGTATATGTGTATATACACAGACACATATTCATAATGACATGGAAAAGTGGAGAAAAATACTTTCTAATTTTCTTTTTTTTAGAGAGAGATTTCTGCTATAGAGTATGTGCACTTGCCAGAGAGACAGAAAACAAGAAATCACCCCAGGAGGGATGGCCATGCCATAATCCCTTCTACTCCCCTCTCCTCTCGGGATTTTGGGCACCTATGCACATGTGCCCGGTGTGAGTTTTAAGCTGCTGGGTCTGGGACTTGAACTGCAGTCAACTATATGGGAGTCCAGCAACCATTACACCATCTGCTGATTCTTAAAAATACATTTATTTAGGGGGAAATTATTGTTATTTATAAATTTATATTTCTCAGGCCAGTAATTTTTTTAACACTAAACATGGAAATGATAACTGCCAAGTTCTTGTTCTCCCCTAAAATTAAAGGGAAGTAAAATTCTTTTCATAGAAATAAAGCATATTTTTTTTAAAAAGAACAATAAACTAATATTAGATAACTGATTCTAAAACAATCTTTCTTATTTTCTTCTTATTTAAGAAAGAGAAAAAGAGAGATGGAGAGAGAGAGAGAAAAGAAAGGGGAGAGGCTGGCAGGTAGCATGGTGGTTAAAGGTGCTGGATCCCTACATGGCCAACTACAGTTTGAGTCCCAGACCTGGCGGCTTGCTTTCTCACTTTCCCTTCCTCTCTCTCTCTCTCCCCCTCTCTATCTTTGTCTGGTCAAATTAAGAAATAATAACAACAAATGGAATAAAATAAACAAATAAATATTAAAAAAGAAAGAAAAAAAAGAAAGGGGAGAGAAAGAGAAATAGGCATTTCCTACAGGATCTCATTGCGTCGAAATCCTCCTGCTCCAGTCTCCCAATCAGCCAGGATTACAGGCACAAGCAATCCACCCAGCATGTTCAGGCTGGCCTGGGAACTGAACCTGGGCCCCTTCACATGATCTTTTCTTCAGATTTTCTAAGAGAAACAGTTGACTTCTAATTCCACATGTCAGTTCCATTTTTCCTTTATAAATGTTTTTATTCACATTTCCTTTCTGTGGGAGTGATATTTTATTGTTCTATGAAACCCAACTTCAATCTAGCAGGTATTAGTAAGATAGTATATATAAAACTGAAAAACAGATGTTTATGTCCAGAAATTACATATTTCTTTGTTCTTCCTGCATTTAGGTGATCTCAGCTTTTTTCTGAAAGTGAGCATTAAACCATTAGCAATAAGGTAGCTCTCCTGAGGACATAATTTTCCAAATAACCATGTAGTTCACCGTTTTTCACAGAGAAGTATCCTGAGGACTGGGTCCAACTGGGAGGAATGTTATTCAGGGTGGCCTGAGACAACATAGCTGGATGAAGAGTTCCAATTTTCATCATCTTAGTTGTAGAGAGACAAGGTCATAGCACAGAGGGCAACTTTATGCATTTATCAGCCAGGCAAATGAAGAGACAAGTAGGGAAGCTGGAAACAAGGGAGTGAGGATGTGAACAGAGCTGGTGAGAAGGTCACAGGGCGTATTTCAGTTCTGAAGCCACCAATGGGAAGCCTGTGCAGAGTGCTCCTTTAACGTAAGCCGTCAAGAGAGGCTCAGCAGCTGAGAGCAGCCACCCAGCTCTCCAGGCTGAGCCCTGGAGATGTCATTCTATTCTCTTTTTTCTATGCTTCATTTTTGTCCCAGTGCTGTAAGATTTTTGGCCTTTCATTCTTCTCTCCATGGGCCCTGGAGGTTTTTTTGTTTTGTTTTGTTTTGTTTTCTTTCTATCCAAGACAGAGTACATGTCTACATAAGCCAAAGTGGAAAAAGCACCATGATCCCTTTTCTCCAGTCCTCCAGCCTATGGGTCCTGCTTCTTTTGGGCTTTTTTCCCTTTCTTTCCTTTTTTCCCTTTCTTTCCTTTCCATTAAGAGCTCTCTAAAAGCTCCCTCTTCGCTTTTGTAGTTTGTTGTTGTTGTTGCACATGTAGCTTGATCTGGAAACCAGGACTTTATGTTGGCCTGGACTTCTCAGGTCTTTATCAATTCTGCAGAAAATGGAACAACTTGGCAACAGGCATAATAAGAATAATTAAAAATAACAGGGAGCACAAAACTAAGAAGTGAGATGCAAAAATAAGAGGGAACATGACATCAAGTCATAGGTTTTCATCTGAAAATATCCACTCTAGCCAACTGAGAAGTTCGCTTGCAAATCAGTTAACATCTCTCTATGTAGAGAAAAGCAAAGCCACAGGGACATTTTGCAATCACATATAGAGTTCACTTAGTATGCTACCTTCTGGTGAAATTCTTACATAAAACAAACCTTTGAAAATCCAGGATGAAAATAATGGTAGCCACTAGTAAAATTTCCAAGGGCACTTTTAAAACATAGAGTAGATTTGTTTTCCTGGTACAACTGCTTCAGAGAAGTTCCCACTTAAATCCATGCATGGTCATTTTATGTCTGCCATTATGCCTTCTTGTTTGCTAAACGTAAGTCTGTCTTGTCAACGAGCTATTTTAAAAAATACTTTTTGAAATCACCCACACTCCAAACAGCAGAACTGCTGTGTGTATACAAATGCTCTGGAAAGGCACAGTCAGGTATTGGGTGTAGGCACAGAACAAACCGCATGGTCTGCCTTGGCAGCCCTGTCCTCACCTGCAAGCTGCCCACACACACTCCCTTCCAAACGGTGCTTCCTCTGATGCCAATTGGCTGACTGAGCTACTGTTGGGAGGAAGTCTATGGTGGGGGAAGGCTTGTAAGTGATGTTGATATTTTATAAACTAAATTTCAAGTTTACAATTCGATTTACTCTTTAAAGCAAATTCACGTTGGAAGTCCTGCCTCTCCTTAAAGATGTGGGCAATCCAAGAGTTAAAAAGGTATGGAAGCTGGTGTAGCTTGGGGCTGTCATCCAAGGCCAGCTGAAAAGGCAGCAGGAAGGGTTTGGTTCTGGCTGGGCTACAGACAGGCCATCTGGATGCAGGGAAGGCCTAGAATGCCAGGAGCAGCTTTACTCTTTGCTGTTAGACTTCGTTGACTCTAGCCTGGGAGAGTCTTTGGTTTAAAACCCAAACTGAGAGTCTTCTTTGAACGTGGATTTGATATTTGAGCTTTATTTATTTCTATTTTTTTTTAATTTGCCAGAAAGTGCATGTGCTAACCAGGGAGAGAAGGAAAGTGAAAAAAACACGGTCTCCCATGGGAGATGGTCATGCTGCAATTCCTTCTCCTCCATCTCTTGCTCTTTCTGGGATTTTGAGCATGCACACATACCACTGGCATGTTTCTCAAGCTGCTGAGTCCAGAGCTTGAACTACTCAGTTGACCATGCAGGATCCAGTCACCTTAACTACTATGCTACAGACTAGCTTGATATTTGAATTTCATATAAAAGAAACATTCACTACATATATTCTTCTTGGAAAAAAAAAGTTCATAGAGAGTAATGTATACACAATTAGCAAACTTAGAAAAGGATGTAGACCAAATTCACCAGATTTACAACTATATCAAAACTATTCATAAATCTTTAAATAGTTTTGCTAGAAATAAATCTGGATAGGTTGTCAAAAAAAAAAATAGGGTCAGTAGGTGGAATGCTGGTTAAGGCACTGGACTCCTACGTGACTGACTATGGTTTGAATCCCAGACCTGGCGGCTTGCTTTCTCACTTTCCCACTTCTCTCTCTCTCTCTCTTTCTCTCTCTCTCTGGTGAGTGCATATACCCTATAGCAAATTAAATAATAATTATTATAACATTAAATTAAATATTTTTAAAGGAAAAAAATGTGTATTGTCTTGCCAGAGGACACATGCACTCACCAGAGAGAAAAAAGCACACCCCTCAGTGGGGCATGGTCACAGCACAATCCTCCCTTCTCCGTTTCTCCACCCCGTCAGAATTTGGGGCATACTCACACACATGCTCAGTGAATTTTTCAAGCCACTGAGGCAAATCTCAGTCAGCCCTGTGGGCTCCAGCTGCCAGTGCACAGTGCTTAACCACTACACCATGGGATGGCTCCCAATTTTTTTTTATTGTATCCCTCTTTTACTCTTATGAAGAATTATTTCACTGTTTTTCCTATAGTATACTGCAAAAGCAATTTTACTACATTGACATTGACTTTTAGTCTTTAATATTATTTTTCTTCTCCATTTTTGCTTTATATTTAATTATGTTACAGTTATAATTAATTATATTAGACAGGATGATAGCATGAGTGTGTTGTAATTCCTTTCACAGGAAATTTTTCTTTAGTAAAATTGAGAACAGCAAACAAACAAAAAAAACCTGCAGGGAAATTATAGCAACTTCCTACTCTATATCACTCATGAACATACACTCTGTTTGGAAACCACCCTCTTTAAAAGATACGATCTATTCTCCCTTAGCTATAGCAGTCTATGCTTGACTTGTATGTGTTTTTCTTAACAATTAAAGGAAAAGGTGAATGTAAATTCCCTTGGACAAAACAAAACAGGAAAGAAACAATATTATCCTTAAGAGAATTCTTACCTTAAGGAAGAGAAAACGCACGTATCTTTCTGTGTGAGGGAGGTGGGTGAGGGAGGAATATTTTTCTCTCCAAAGCATTAATTGCCACCTAGCAGCAGAGAAGGGAATTGCACACTTAGCTTGGGACTGAAATTCTAGAAAACATTAATTTTAAGGATACATTACTTTTATTGTGACAACATATTAAAAATTATAAACCCACTGGTAGTCTAGGGATTGAATTTTTTTTCTCATAAAACAAATGAAACTGGCTTATTTGTGAGAATACTTTTTCCATCATAAAATGCCCCTGTTCTTTTATTACCCTTGTCACCCCTGCAACAGGCCAAAGAAAAAGAAATTCTGAAGCCATCATGACACTAAAAAGTGTTGTTTGAGGCCTATTACAGAAAGAAAAACCTGGGGACCAGCAGATGGCTTAATGGCTATGTCACTGGACTCCCATGTACTCGACCACAGTTTGAGTCCTGGACCCAGTAGCTTAACCTCATGCCGGGTGCGTGTGTATGTATGCCCAAGATCCTGAGAGGAGAAGGGATTGCGGCCTGGCCATCCCCCCTTGGGGTGGGAAGGGGGTGATTTCTTGCTTTCTGTCTCTCTGTCTCTGTCTTTCTGGCGAGTGCATATGCCCTATACCAAAAAAAAAAAAAAAAAAAAGGGAAGAAAAACCTGTTTTTAATACAGAAAACAGTTTCCCAAATAGAGTAATCTCAGGATAGATTTCTATAAAGATGAGATCAGAATATATTTTGTTGTGCTAGGACAATAAGAGAAGGTTTATTTTGAAAATGAGAAGACATTTTTAAAAGTATGAAATGATTTCCAGACCAAGTTATCATCTCAATTTGTTAAAAATCTTGGCAACTAAATGAATATAAATAAACTGTCAAAAAGGAATAAAGCAAAATTAAATATTTAAGAAGACTTTAAAACCTAGCAAAGTTAAAAATAAAGTTTTTGGCTAAAAGCATAACTTATTTAAGAGATTAGATATGGAGCAGTAGTTCACTGTATAAAACCAGTGAGTCACATTTCATTTAGATAAACAAACAATAGGCCTTCCCACTGTATCAATTATATGAGAATATCATCACTAAGGCAACTATAAACATTTTAGAAGACAAATGACAATTCTAAAAAATAATAATAATATAAATATTTAATAAATATATACTATATGCTAGGCAGTATACTAAGTACTTTAAATGAGAAATTCACTTAATCTTCAGGATAATCATAGAAGAAAATGTTATCTCTATCTTGTTAGTTTCAAAATCACCAACAATTGGACCAGCGGGTGGTGTGATGGTTAAGGTGCTGGATTCCCATATGGCTGACGTGGTTCAAGTCCTGGATCTGGCAGCTTGCTATCTGTGTGTGTGTGTGTGTGTGTGTGTGTGTGTGTGTGTGTGTGTGTCTGGTGAGTGCACGTGCCCTACAGCAAATTTAAAAAATAATAAAAAAATTTAAATAAGTAATTCTTAAAAACAACAACAATAAAGTGAAGGTTCAAAAAGGTGATATGAGTAATCAAAGGTTTTAGAGTTCACAGTAGCTAAGCTCAAATACAACACTGATCCATATTAATATTGGAGTGCCCCAACATTCAAATCTTGGAACTCTTCTATTTTCACTCCAGTCTCATCATTCTAAATAAGTTAGCTCTCCCTGATGGTGACCCCCTAATTTTGGATCTCCAGCCTAGACCTCGCCAATGAAGTCCAGCTCCTCTGTCAACCAGCTACTCCCTCTCTCCACTTGGACCTCTAGTAGACAATCCAAACGCGAAATGTACAATACTGTATTCCCACAAAACCTTCTCAACATCCAATTCACTAGTAAAGTACTGTTGGCTCTGACTTCAAAATATATCCAAACCCCAACTACTTCCTGCCACTTAACTATCACAACTCTGGCCCAAGCCATCATCATTTCTCTTGGATTACTGTAATACCCTTGATCTTGTTAGAGGGATTGGCTCCCTACAGGCTATTCTGAACATAAGGGCCAAGCCAGTTCTTCAAAAATGTCAAGCCTGACACTCGTCTTTTCTGGAACCCTCTAGTAACTTTCCACCTCAGTCAAAACCATAGTTCTTAGTATGGCCCAAGGGCCTAGGCCTACACTATCTGTAACCCCCAGCCCATTTCCTCTCTAATTTTATCCCATACCTCCCTTCCTCTCAGAAATTTTTGTGTTTTGTTTACTGAAGTATTCTCAGCATCTTAACAATAACGCTTGGTAATCAACATATGTTTGTTTAATAAATCTGAGAAATGTCTGACTCTAAAACCTAACTTATTCATCACTACTTTCTAGGCATGAATCAATGGCTCTGTGAGATGACAGTGTTTGGCTGGAATATTCCGAGTGACTCTTACATAAAAGCCCTACTTGTGGGCTGACAGCAATTAGTCTCTTAGGATTTTAATGGTTTTTCAGCTGCTCTAAGTATGGGAACTTGGCTCAAAATATACTCTGATTTTTAACTAGAAGTTGCAAGATGAATCGAGAAAGGTTTATTGGAAGAAGAATAAGACAGAAAAGTAACACCACTTCTCCAACTAAAAGACTATTGTTAGTTATTTTAGAATGTTTTTTTAATTTAAAAAATAAACTCTATTAAGAGCAAGCCGAAATTTTCCCAAGGACATGTAATATTCATTGTTACTCAACTAGCTAGATGATATTCTGTAATAATTGCTTAATGTCTGGAAAAAATATTTCTAAACAACTCAAGGATGCCAATGGTTTTTGTATAGGCCTCTCTTTTGGTTATATACACTAAGAGGAAAATTATATGAAAAGTCTCCAAAAATGTTGATGGAAAATGTATATTATGAAAAAGCTATGCATGAATTTCAACTTTTTTGCATCAGAACGAACCAGTACTAACTTGCTACAACAGATCCAAATAGGATTTAACTTGATCACTAAGAAAGATACGACATCAGTTTGAAAAGAGCCAGTGATGGGATGGTTGAGGCGGCTAGATCCCACCTAGCAGACTGTGCAGTTTGAGTCCCAGACTGGCAGCTTGAAAAACACATAAGCGTGTGTGTGTGTGTGTGTGTGTGTGTGTGTGTGTTTGCCCAAAAATCTGAAAGGAAAAATGGAGGAAAAGGGATTGCAGTGTGACCATCATCTATGGGAGCTGCTTTCTCCCTTTCCATCTCTCTCTCTCCTGTGAACATATACATCCTCTAGCAAATTAAAAAACAAACAAACAAGAGTCCCTATCAGAAAAACATAAATTCTGCTAAAACTAAAGCAAGAATAAACTTCAAATTTATGGCGAAACTTGTGAGGAAGAATGGTGAAATTATCAATGCTTTACATTTACGGTGACAATACCCCAAAGAAAAGAGCAATTTACAAATAAATAATTCAATTTAAGAAAGGGGAAGACAAGGTTGAAGATGATAATGTCTGCAACATCAGTTTGAGAGGAAATAAATTCATCCTGTTTGTCCCCAAATATTACAGAAAAGGACTGACAATAAACAGCAGAAATAATAGCCAATACCTGACATCTCAGTTGGTTCAGCTAACACAATTTCGAATGAAAAATTATAGCTGAACAAACTTTCTGTTTGATAGGTGTCCAAACAGCTGTGTTCAAATCAGCTGCAGACAAATGTAGGGCTTTCAATGGAAATTTTAAACAAGTGGAATTATGATCCTGATGCATTTCTTCAAAGAATTATAACAGGAAAATGACACATTTCTTTACCAGTACAATCTTGAAGACAAAACATGATAAAAGTAGTGGCTACCAGGAAGTATAAGTGGTCCAATCAAAGCAAAAGCAGACCGGGCAAAAGTAAAGGTCATAGCCACAGTTTTTGTGAATGTTCAAGATAATTTTTGTTTGTTGACTTTCTGGAAGAGCAAAGAACAATAAACATCTCATCTATTAGGAGTGTTTTAAGGAAGTTAGCCAAAGTCATAGCAGAAAAATATTCTGGAGAACTTCACCAGAGGATCCTTCTCCACCATGATGATTCTCCTGCTGATTCCTCTAATCAAACAAGGACAATTTTGCAAGTTTCTATGCAAAGACATTAGGTATACACCTTACGATCCTGATTTGGCTTCTTCTGAATTCCTTGTTTTTCCTATCTTGAAAATCTTTAAAAAAAACACCTGTTTTTCTTCAGCTAATAATTTAAGAAAGACTGCATTGACATTATTAAATTGCCAGGGCTCTCTGTTCTTTAAGGATGGACTAAATGGCTAGTATAATTGTTTACATAAATGTCTTTTAAACTGTCTTGAAGTTGATGGAGTTTATATTGACAAGTAAAGTTTATATTTTTATTTATAACTTTTAATTCCATTTTTCTAAAACTTTTTGAAGTCCCCTGTATTAAATAGTTTAGACACAACTCTAAATTGCTATTCTCCTCAATTATGTCTGTTCACTCTGGTTTTCTCTGTTTGAAGTTTTAGTTATATTACTAGAAAAGAATCTTAATTTTTGAAAAATTTCAAAAAGTTGGGAATGGTTGCAAACAAGACTAGTTTAGAGTGATCTATCTAAAGGATATCAAATATTGGTCAAATAAATTATTAGGTTGTTGGGACCAGCAGTTAGTGTAATGGCTATGTCGCTGGACTCCCATGTAGTCAACTGTGGTTCGAATCACGGACCCGGTGGCTTAAACCCACTCCAGGCGCATGTGTGTGCATGCCCAAGATCCCAAGAGAATGGAGGAGAAGGGACTGCGGCGTGGCCATCGCCCCTGAGGGGTGATTTCTCGCTTTCTGTCTCTTTGTCTCTCTGTGTCTTTCTGGCGAGCACATGTGCCCTATAGCAAAAACCTCTAAAAAAAATTATTAGGTTGTCAGGAAAGTCATGACATATTTTTCTTTGAAAAAAATGCTACATGGAGAAAATAAAGCAACCTAGTTGGTGATGGAAGCATTAGGAGAGAAATTTTAGGCAGAGATATAGAGGAGAAGTCAACCATTTCTCCTTTTGCCATGGCAAGCTGGGAGAAGCAAGAAGCTTCCACCTTAAACTTTTTATTATTATACCAGACACATTTCTTTACCAGTACAATCTTGAAGACAAAACATGATAAA